TGGGAAAGCTTCCTAATGTTTGCATTATCAGGAAATGGGGTAACCTTTAATTTTGAATAAGCAAATCATGTGTAGTTTAAAAAGTGATGTAGGCCTGTAGGGTACCGTAAAAAAATGTACTGAAAAAATGAACTAAAAAATGAAGCCATTAATGGATTAGAGCCAAAACTTGAAGACCACAACTGAGTGCATAAATTTATGAGCATCAGTTCCAAACATACCTCAGTTTATAACATGAGATTGAAATAAAAATAGTAAGGTCTTCAAGATTAAGACTCAAAATATGAAATGGATTGGACATAAGTAAGGCATCAAATATGAACAGAGACAAACGTGACTATATACAGCAAAACTTTACATATGTATGGAAAGCATTTCAGGGGAAAAAGTGTGCATGTAGATGATATCAGCATACAAGGTTAGGCAGCATGTGAATGATCTGTAATAGCATAGAAAATTGAGATTAACATGATCATGGCCAGGCAAATGTAAAAGGTTTAGACTTTAGACTTGCAAATTAAGAATGCTTATGAATGATCATAGAAAATTATTTGAACATGTGGGATTGCATAATGCAATGGCCTGAACAACTGCAGATGTTTGACAAAAACTTATGGCATACAAGTAATTAACTTATTTATTTAAATAATAGGTTGTTGCACAGAAGAAATACTTGGAATCCATAACCATAATGCATTACACATGAGGGTAAAGAAAGAATCACATTCTCTCTCCATTTTCTTGGGATTGCATGGATGACTGCAAGCCCACAAAGCTAGTATGCACCTAAGCACTAGAGAGAGCACCCACACTACAGTGCTCTTTTTATTGTTAAGAATCTGTGTGCTATCAAACAGATGGTTGAATATTCTCTGCTCTTTATATCCTCTTTTAATATTTTTAGACAAATCACATTCTTCTTTCACAATGAGTCTACAAATGAGAGATGGCAAATCCAAGAAGCCATAATCTTAGAGAAATATGAAAATTGGTTGTAAGAAATACCATTTTATTCAGCTTTTTGTAGTTTTTAGTGGTAAAAAAGAATTTGAGAAAGCTCAAAAATAATCATCCATGGGACAACCTATTTTGACTCTCTCAATATCCTGCTCTTATTTGAAAGGTGCTTTCAATGCAAACAATTCACTATTTTCTACCAATTTAGTACTTACTAATGGAAGGGATGATGGAAAGTAGGAGGTAACCATGCATGATTGTCAGATTGTCAGAACATTGAAGTTTGTTCAAACCATTCTCCAACACTATCTTCATGATATCAAATTAATAGTTAAATCAGATGATGGATTGATTCTAAATTTTGTTTAAAAAGCCACGCATGATCTTAGTATGTTGGAATATTCTGTTCTAGCCAGCTTTAAAAGAGTTATTTTATCGCCCGGTGAAACTGCCTTTTTTGCATTGATATTTGATACAAACTACAAGATTTCATGGGCCCTTCTAGTATCGCACCATTTGACTTGCAGCGCCATCTAAATTCAATGCCATCTTTCTCTCATGCCTATCTTGTTACTTTGCAACAACGTGTTGACTCCTGGACTAACAGGTGTTTTGCTAAATGTAATAAATGCACTCTCCAAAAAAAAAAATCATTTCACTTATCTTAATGCATAAAATCTATAAAATTATAATCGAATCCTACAGGTCTAGAGATGGACTTAAGAAAAGACATGATATTATAGAGAATATAGCAAAATCCTTTAAAGAGAGTATGCAAAAGGGTTTGACAAACGAGATTATTTCAAGATGCAAAAGGATAACATTAAGCTTCACTAAGCAAACCTATTGATAATGGTTCAATAGATTCTATGAACCACTCATCTATTCAAAAAAATAAGAAGTCAAATATTTAGGAGGACTATAAGAAATAACAAAGATAAAGGAAAAAATTAACACAAATGCATAACCAAGGAGTCTTTTTGTTTTTCATAGAAATTTAACTCCTTTCATTGTTTTCTATGATAGAGCAAGAAAAATGAAATTGAAAGAGCAGAATTCTGTTATTTAGAAAGAGAAACACCTTCATCGGTGATGGAGGATTTTGTACTTTAGTCATACCTTTGTATCCTCCTTTTTTCTGTGCTAGCATTCTACATCATGTGCTCCAATGTTGTTTTTGAATTAGTGGATTAAACTCTAGTCATCATAGAAGCACATACTCGATTCTAAAGTACTCGAGTAATTTGTAAGTTAGCTAGTACTGTGCAAACTTGATGCCGCCTCTGCCACCTTACCATAACAAATTAAAATCTAAAAAATCCTCCTCATACAGAAATATTATTGATCAGGGTGGGATAGTGGGGCTTTAGATCACTGATGTGATCAATTGGCGGATGGAAGACTCTCCTAAGATAATTAAAAAGAGTTAAGGTAAACTTAGAGTTTAATTTGAAGGTGAGGTTAATGTTTTGAGGAGTTTGGGAGGTAAGCCAATAGTAATGCAATCTATTCAAATATGGAATTCCAACTTCTATCCAATGGATATTCCTTTCTAGAAATTCAAATCCAAAAAAAATGGACTTGAATTGAAGTTAAAGATATCAATTTTAAATTTAGAGAGTTCGGTAAAATTAGAAATAGTATAGGTCAATTCTATCCAAAAATGACCAAGGATGGGAATGTAAATGAGTTTTCTCGTATATTAGGTTGAATTCAAAAACTCCACTTGGAAATGATCAAGGATATCTTTTAGAAGGGATCTAGAAGTTTTTAGAATTTTTTAGTGGAGTTTTAATATTTTTTAAGATGTTATATGGGGCTAGAAACAAGCTATGATGCACCGACATGTCTCTTAAAGAGGGTATGCAGTGTCGGACACGTGTCGGACACGGACACACGTCGGACACGGCATGGACACGTGTCCGACACGGCATTGGAGTATCGGAATTTAAAACATTAAAATTTAAATTGGACACGCATTAAATGATAAAATCGTCCGTTCTATTTAGCCTGTTCGCGAACGAGAAGCCCTATTTTTCCGATCCACGAAAGAAATCTTCTAGGGCGGACCGGGAGAGCACACAGTCGACGCCAAACAGAGCCCGTTGCCTTCGCCTCCCGTTCCTTCGTCATTTCTGCTCGGCCAAGCAGAGCTCGTCTTTCTCATTCCTTCATTCTTGCGTTATTTCTGCTATCATTCAAGGCAAAGTTTGAAATCAAGGCCAAACAGAGCACCTTCTGCACGCAAAAGAGCTAAGAACTGTAAGTGGATTTCGCCATTTCTTCTCTTCATTGTTGAAAAACCTGATGTACATGCCGGTATCGCTAGGTACATGCTCGGTACCGCTCAGTAAATGCTCGGTACTGCTCGGTACATGCTTGGTACTGCTCGGTACTGGTAGGTACATGCTCGGTACTGGTAGGTTACTACTCGGTACTGGTAGGTACATGCTCGGTACTACTAGGTACATGCTCGGTACTGCTAGGTACATGCTCGGTACTGCTAGGTACATGCTCGGTACTGCTCGGTACTAGTAGGTTACTGCTCGGTACTGACAGGTGATAACAAGATGTGGGATGTTGCTGGAGATGGGTTCGAGTGCCTTGATGATATGGGATTATTGGAGGTTGCAAATCTTTCTCTAGATGAGCCAGAGTTGGAAGCAATGATATTCAATGATGATGATATTGAAGGCCAAAAACCAACATATGAATCTAATTTTATCATTCCCTCTATTGAGTAGTTAAACCTTCATGTTGTATTAAATGATTTTTTGCTTATATTTTTGTGTTTGTACTAGACATTTTGTACTAAACATCTTTATGTTATAAGCTAAACAAGTTATCATGAAATTGATTTATTATTGCTTGACATTTTTACTATAATGTCACCTTAATTTTTATATATTATATTAAAAAATTATTATGGCGTGTCCACGCCGCACCCGTGTCCTATATTTTTAAAAATTGCTGTGTCCCGTGTCCGTGTCGTATCGTGTCCGTGTCGCCGTGTCCGTGTCGGTGCATCGTAGGAAACAAGTTATGGGCCGAAATATAAAGCAAAAAATAGAAATAGAGGAGGAAGAAAAGGATTTTATTTTTTTTAGGAAAAGTTGCACACTCAAGAACACACCATAATAGATTGAAAATAAAAAAAGTGCAGAAAAATTATTCAACTCATCAAAATAGAGGGTTCAAGAGGATCACTCAATCCTCTTGACTGTCCAACCACCAAGCCTCTAAAATCTTGGAATTTCTACTCTAAACTTATAAGCAAACCAATAATAACTTCATTTCAGTCTAAAGAAGATTTATACAACTAAAAAACACAAGAAGATGTACAACCCTTCATATAAATTTGAAGAGGGAAAGGAGAGGATGAGGGGCCTAGTCCCTTTGACTATGCCCACTAGTAACTACCATAACTACTCCCTCCTTAATACTTAGCCGCCCCATTACTCTCTAGCAAGTTGCTAGGCCAGCCACATTACTCCCTAGCCCCTTAATTCCACTCTCTAGCCCTTTTACACATAAAATAGCCACTTTAACACATAAAGTCCACACAACACTAAATCTTCACACACATACAATCCACAAACATGAAAATGCATAGACTAAATGCATGATTATTTCTACATTTGCTCTTTCTCTTGCTCTTGCTCTTTCTCTTGTTCTTGTTCTTTATAACTTGAGCTTCATATTCCCTTACCCTTGCCTTAGTATTCGGATCACTTTCATGTTCTAGGTCAACTTTAACATTAGTTTTTTATTCACATGTCCCTTTACAGAGACATAGACTACATTAGATGTTAAGAAGAAGTTACAGTCAAATATAACAAGCCAAATCCAAGAGAGAACTCTACGACCAAATGGATACTTTAAAGGGCAGGTAATTCTTATGATGGGGTAAGACAAGGCAGCCTTTCATAAACTGCACCATCTGCTTATTAGATAACAGTATGTAAATCAAACCATTCACTTAAATTAATCTCCTAAATGTAAGAAACACAGAAGGCTGCCAGCACTACACTGTAAGAACGCACCTCAAACGTCATGGATAACATGATGAGGTTTCTAGCCCTCTTCCTAGACGACTGAGCTCTCCGCTTCATCTTAGTATGGACTACCGCCTCCTCCTTGGACAAGAGCTGCAGTTTCTTCTCGTAATCCTCGTTCCCAACTCCAAAGATCCTCCTCCATATGCGCGAGATAATCCCCATTCGTTGGCCCCGCTTAAGCAGCACCGATGCCTTCGCTGCCTCTCCCTCCTCCGTCGGATCATCCCCTCCAGGCTCTTCCATTTCCTCGAAACAAACCCCAGATCGGATCCACTTAAAACCAAGTAAAAAAGAAATCAAGAAACTTACACTTGGAGAAGGAAGAGAACAAATCGAGGAAACGAGAGAGTTCACCAGCGAAGTGGATCGCGTATTTCGATCTCGCAGCGGACGACAAGCGAGAGGGGAAGATTATTCTTTGACGAGGGTTTTGATCTCGGGGGAGTGGAATGGGACGCGACGATGAAATAAAATAGCTGAGATAAATTAATCATATATGTGCTTTAAGAAGAGTGAGTGCTGTTAGAGAATTTGAAAAATGAATTTCATTTAAATTTTTCAATAGAATTCTCGAAAATATTAAATAAGATTCATACAGTAATTACTTTTAATTTGAGGGGCTTCTTTGAGAATTACACAAGCATTTGTTAATTTCCTGATCTGGATGGAAACGCTAAGACTTGGGAGTGACTCGGCGCAAATCCATATAGGGAAAACAGCACGGATTATTTTAAACAGTGTGCAAGACTGTTGTCTGTATGAAGCGAAAATCAAATATGATCGTTTGCTGAGGGGTATTTTCATTAATTTGTCCAATTGGGCTCCACATACCAAAAAGGTTCTAGTAAACAGTGGGGTTCGTGAACCAATGCGCATGGGGGAGATTAAATATTATTTTAAAAATAAAATTTTATATGTATTATGTGTCGTGTAATACATAAAGAGTTTAACATCACGAAAATAAACAGTTTAATGTCCTAATTTTACCGTTAAAATAATTTCACTAATATTTATTATTGATTATAAATAATGTCTTTCCTCAAATGAATACATTTATACAATACAAAGAACTTATTATGTAGTTGTAGTTAGAAGAGCTCTGTCACATGGGAGCTATTTTTAATAAATCATTTGCTTTTTGTTTTGGTTGGACAGCTTTAATAAGAGAAGATTAAAAACCAAGAAATCCAGCATAAATCCTAATGTTGAAATTGAGAGCTAGAGATAATGTCGACGACATGTATTAAACATTTAAGTAATGTCGTGCATTAGCATTATTAGCAATGGAAAGTGATGAGGTCAATAAGCATCAAAGTAGCCATACGGTGATGAACATATGATTATAGGCCAGAGGACCATATTTTGGTAATTATGATTAGAGGATCGTGGTCAAGTGATGATGGTCAAAAGGATTGTGTTCAGGCGATGATGGACTAAAGGGCAGTGGTATGGCAAAGGAGTTAGGAGGACTGTAGTCGAGCGACGGTACTCTTAAGAATTATAGTCGAGCATCAGAGATCAAGGGATTGTAATCTGACAATAGTGGTTGAAGGATCAATGTTATACATACTAGTATCAAGTGATGTTGGTAAGAAGAACTATGGTCAGGTGAAAGTGGCACAAAGGACTATGGTTTGAAGAGGGTGGTCAGGATCATTGGCAGATAATTATGATCGGAGGACTGTAGTTAGACGATAAATGTCAAAGGATTGTAGTTAGGCAATAAAGGTTGAAAGGACTATAATCAGGCGACAATGATAATAAAGAGAAAAATTAAGATTGTGAAAACTAGACCTGACAACAAACTATAAGAAAGAGATGTTCATGATTTGATTGTTCGATCAGATCTAACTAGAGTTGAACCGGATGATGTAATAACTGCTAAAATTATTTATATAACAACATAAAACTTATTAAGAAGCCCAATTAAACATGAATATATATATATATATATATATATATATTTAAAATTAATTAAATAAAACTTAATATTAAAAAATTATTTAAATAAAAAATATTATTATTTAATTAATTAGTTCAACCAAACCAAAGTTGATATTTTACAACTTCTCCGACCGACAACTAAAATGGTTCACTATAGAATTGATCAAACTGACTGGTCTGGTCCTATTTTAAAAACAATGAGAATATTTATTAAGTCCAATTCGCATATATTACAGTATTTGTGCTTTTAATTATTATTTTATGTATCAAAAATAGGTGAAAAATCATAAAAATTGAACTGGCATCATAGACTCAACGTCTTAGTGCCATAGTTTACCCAAGCATCGTAGTGCCACAATAGAGAGCTCAAGAAAATATGATTTAGACATTTGCGCCGATATACACGATTTCTATTTAAAGAGAGGAATAACAAGCATTCTCTTCACTGCAATTCCTTTCTTTCAATCTTTCTCTCTTTTATGCAAATTCCTACTCCTTACAATGGTCGGTGGAAAGTGCTCAAGGACTCTCATATGAATGTTCTTCCAGACATCCCGTTGATCCCTATTTCCCTAAAGCAATGGACGAAGAAGCATATCATTTCTATAAGGCTGCCGAGACCACCCCTCATAAGATCATAAATCAAGAAGCCCTGAACTTTTAGGTACTCAATATATTTGTTTGCACCACCCTTCAATACATTCTATTATAGCATTTACATTCAACTATGAACTCCTCTATAAATTGTTCACTAGTTTTCGATTCAACAGTGAGAGCACTACCCTTCAATCTCATGTTAATAGGAAGCCCGTAGAAATCATGTATCAAGACTTCTATTAAATTATGCACATTTTTACCATCAGTAAAAAAATTCACTATTTAGCCTTTCTCCTAGTCTTTAATTGGATTCTTGTCAACACCACCCTTAGAGAGTCTTTAGTAAATTGCAACATTCCCCATATTAACACATTAGTCCAAGATGTTTTGTTCATTCAACACTTCCTTTGAAATTTAATCATTCCAAAAGACGGTGAAAGGATAAACATCACACCTCTTTTATCCCTTGTACCTACTTTACCATGGTTGAGAATGATTTCAATTTAGCTGATATGATTATTTGATACATTGAAAATCTTATATATAGTAGAGATCCCATAAATAAGAGAATACCAAATCTTGCATTAGATCATATAAATGACTATGTTCTGGAATCAAAATATAATCTTCAATTTCCTACACCACCCAACCATCTTCCAATCTTCTATTCAAATAGCTCAATCCACATCCTTCACAGTGCTCATCGTCAAAATGTTCATTATGTGGACCCCAAGCTAGAGGAACTAGAGGGAGGTCTAGCACTATCTCTAACACTAGCACCTATACACCAGCCTTTCTCAATATGATATACTAATTCAGAGATTTGATCAGATGGAGACTCACTTAAATGCTTACGTCGTGGAGCAGAATCAGTAGCATAAGATTGATATGGTATGGTTTAGAGAGCAGTTTGCATCCCTTTATCAATACTTTCAGTCACCTCCACCACCACAACCACCTGATTAGGGACCTTCATGTTTTTAGCATTTATTATTTTTGTTCTTATTTATGTTTTTTTTTTTTTCATTATCATGTTTGTTTTATTTTTCTTGCCATGCTTAGATATTCCTTTTTTTTGTTGATATTAAAAGGGGAGTGGAATATTGTTGGTAGGTTATACTTCTACTTGGCTATAAATTAGTCTAATTTTAGTTTAATTCCTCATAATGTGTTATTCTCCTATTTATGATTATTTCTCTCGTTTGTTCCTTTTAAAAAAATACCTATTTTCAAAAAATCAACTAGTAAGGGGGGTTTAGGACATGGGAAAATTAATTTAAAAGCATAATCAATAATATTTATCATCATAAAAAGGGGAGAGACTATTGTAAATCTAAACTCAGATCTTGTGATTTTGATATTAACAAATATTATTAGGTTGTCTACTATGTCATCTCTTGTTATTATTATTATTAGATATTTATTTCTGTGCACTAATATTTCAGGTTTGTCATACACAACATAAAGTAATCAACTCAAGATTGGGTAGAATAGGTTTAAGTGTCTTTAAGAGTTTATATTTTTATATTTTTTGAGTCAAAGTCTTATATTTAGTGGATGCTAAACTTGATGATCGTACACACACACACTGAGGGGTGTGAGAAAGTGAGAAAATTAGAAGTGTAATTTTCTAAACTAATTGTATTGAATGATCAACCATTCAGAAAATCATTATAACTGCTAATTGGTATAATTAAAGCTATTTGATCTCATTATACTATATGATCCAAATTATATGGGATGGTCAATTGAAATCAAGATCTCAGCCACCAATTATATTTCAAGCAATATTTTGAAATTCAAAATATGTATTAATCATATCGTGCGATAGGTATTGTATATATTGTACGGTACCATCAAATCTTGCCAAAATTAATCCTGTAATTAAAGGATAAAATTTAGATTAATTGATCCAGTCAGATCATACTGTGTGATTGGACTAATCATATGGTATGACTCAATCTCTATATGGGATGATAATTATTCACAACCAATCATACATGATTATAATCTAATTCGATTGAACTAATCATATTGGACGATGTTTCATATGATATTTGATGATTAGCTCAAATACTTGAATTGATCATACAACGCCTCATTCTTTATACAATATTAACAAGGCTATTTGAACTAATCATAATGTATTATCTAGGATTGTACTATATTATTAGTGTTGACATAATTGAATTATTAGGGCTTTTTTGAAGCCTTGTATTTAAGCTCTCTTTATTAACTTATTTCAAATCTTTGGCTATTGAATTTTTTAAAGAGATAGCTTAGAGAAGAGATCTTGGAGAGCTTTGGGAAGGAGAAAGAAGAGTTTGTGTGTGAGGGAGGAGTATGTGGGGTTTTCCCATGGTTGCTTTGAGCAAGCTTCTACCTTGTTTCTTCTGAATATCTTGCTTGATTTCTTGGGTGGCTTTGGGAAGAAGATTGTTAGCCTGAAGATCATCGAGGTTCTCTGTCATCACCTAGAGTGTGAAAAAGGATTTCTAGATTCTTTACCTTCACCATGAGGATGAAAAAGATGTCAAGGTTCACTGTCGCACCAAGTTGGTGAAAATATTATAAGGGCTTCTCAGCCTAACCGTGGGGGCTAAAGGAAAGACACTAATGTTTTAGTATAAAAATTGAAGAGGATGACTCTGAAGAGTGGACGTACGTTATTATTTGATCAAACCACTATAAAATTTTGGTGTGTTCATTTTGAGTTTTACTTTCTATAATTTACTTTACTACACTTTAATTTTTGAAAATTACATGTTGATAATTATTTGTTTTATGTATATTGATTAGAGTAACTCATCATCACCATAATTATAAATCTTATTTCATTAATTTGCTACTACATTGGGTGATAATATTATTTATTTTTAAGGTATTAAAAAATCTCAAAAAATGGTTTATGATTAAAGAATTTTTTAAATCAACTAATTCACCCCCCTTTTGGT